GTTTCCACACTCTCTCCCCACTAGAAATCTCACTGAGAAGGAGCCAGGACTGGGGGAGTGAATGGGCACAACTTTGCAAAGGAAGCTGGAAGTTCCATTACCTTCTGGTGTCCCACTGAAATCCATGGTTGGGCCTGTGTTGGCAGAGCGCTTGGGGTCGTGGGTCAGACCACTCTGACGAATCCAGTCAAAGTTGTCAGTTGTGTCTTGTGTATATCCACAGATCTTCTCATCCTCAAAGTGACAGGTGTTCCCTGTAGTAGTAGTAGTAACAACAACAACAACAACAACAACAACAACAACTTTATTATTATATACCCCACCCATCTGGCTGGGTTTCCCTAGCCACTCTGGACAGCTCACAGCATATATCAGAACATACTAAAACATTAAACATAAAAAACTTCCCAATACAGGACTGCCTTCAGATGTTTTCTAAAAATCAGATTTATCTCCTTGACATCTGAAGGGAGGGTATTCCACAGGGAGGGCACCACTACCAAAAAGACCCTTCAGTGGACCTTCTGAAGGAAGGGAGGTTAACCAGAATGCCATATGCTAAAATATGAAAAAAGCAAGCAAACAAACATATAGAGCCCCTGCCTTGTAACAGTTATGGTTCTGCAGTGACGTGATAATAAAGCACAAAGAGCATCTTCATCACAAGGATGTAAGAAATGCCCTGCTGGCTCAGACCAAAGGCCCACACAGTCTAGCGTTCTCTTTCTCAGTGTGGCCAACCTGTTGCCTCTTGTGAAGTCTGCAGGTAGGGCATGGGCACAATAGCCTTCTCATGCTCATGTTCCGGAGCAACTGGTATTTGGACTTCTGATCCTGGAGATGATATGCACCCATCCATGTAACCTGACCTGACCTTCCACAAGATAGTGACTAGGAAGAACGTACACAAATGAACTGAACGATCCCTTCTTTCCTTTTAAATCAATGGGTAAATGTGGGAGAGAGTAAAATCTATATACCAACAAGAAACTCCCTGCTTGTGTACAGATGTGCTGATAGAACACTTTGTGATCACATTGGTATGATTGATGTATCCAATTAAAGCAGGTAACATTTGTGTTTCAGAAATGCTTTTTGACATTTCCCCAGATGACTACCGAAATACAGAGACAACCCCCTCCCACCCCACCCAACATCCCTTGCTCTCTGTGATGAAGCAATCTGTATACAGCATAATAATAATATTAATAATATAATATAATAATAATTTCATCATTTTAAGGATCAGAGAACTAGAGTCCAAGTGGTCCCCAAAGGGGGTTCATTCTTTGGTTTGCCAACACTGAAGCTACGGATACACTCAGCACATTGAAATATAGAAGTGTCAGAGCTTGATACCAAATGGGCACATGTGTTCACATGGGGCTCCAACCCACAACCTTGAGATTAAGAGTCATTCTCTACTACTGACTGAGCTATCCCAGCATACACGGCTAAAAATATTGGAGGTGACCATTCTTGGTCTGGCTTTTCAGTGCTTCAGGCACATATACAATTCAAATCCTGGCTCTTCCAGTTTTCTTTGGACTCCATAATGCTAGGTGAAACAAGTGCATGTGTGAAAGCCTTTGTCGGAGCCAGCCGTTACAAATGGCGCAGTTTAGCATAAAATAAAGACACAGAGAGCCAGCAATATTTTCAGGATGGTATGAGCAGCTCCTTTCGAACTTCTCTCTCCTCCCGTAGCTTTTTTATTATCCTTTGTCCCTCTCCAGCCGCATGGCCGTTTGCCAATGTCTCACGTTACCTCATCCGGTCAAGGCCTTTATTACACCCATCACCATATAGGGTCATCACTGCCCAGAGGAAACACAACTCCATTTAAGGTCAATACATTCCAATACATTGTAAAGCTCAGAATGCTGGTCAGCCAGGGTCAGGGGGCACCCTGCAATATTACAAGCCTTTGCCGTGGCTTTATGACTCCCACAGGCCTTCATGGAAAACATATACGTTTCCAGCTTTCTCCTTTCTCTCTCTTTTGGGTACTTCAGCCACATAGTGTTGAAGGGTACAGGCCAGGCCAGATTCCACATTAGGGTCTCCAAAGTAGGATGTGTGCCTAGCATTTTTTAAAAAATGTCTCTAGATTTTGTATGAGGAGTCTAGCCTGTGCCCACCCAGAGATGCTCTGTACCTGAAGGAATGGTTTGTAGAAGCTCTGGGCTGAAAGGTTGCCCCTGGTGAAGCTCTGCCGACTGCTGAAGCACGGAGGACCCCATGGAAACTCGGCTAGAGAGCTCCTGCAAGTGAACACAGCCAAAGGGAGCTTGGCTGGCCACTTAACTGCTAATTAACCCTGACTAAGTGCTCTCTACTCGGTCCATTCATTTCTAATTAGCATCCTAATCCAAATTAGCCACCGTTTGTAATACTGAGTGCTGGGGACTGCCCAGCATCTGGAGCTAGAGGAGAAAAGGAGGCAGGAGATCTGAGACTCTGGGATTCGCAATAACAGTCCCTGTGGTTTATTTGATCTGTTCTGTGTCCAGATCTGAAAGGCAGGAGCTGAGGCGCGACGGCAGCTGCTTAGCAGCTCTTCCAAGGCGTTATGTGCATGAGATGGCTGAGCTCCAGTTCTAGCAATGCCGATCAAGTCACACATGGGAGTCCTGCAGGACAGAAAAGGCTGTCGCACAAGGCTTGGTCATTTCAGCAAGCTACTTAACTCTGGCCAGAGGTTGTTGCACTTGGCTTCCAGATCTAAGCCACAATTCCAGCAAACTCAAAAGAAACCCCTATAATCATAGATTACCACGCCTTTGAAGGCCATCTAATTCAAACAACTTACACTCTGCCCATCTCCAGCAAGCTAGCACTCAATGCAAATTAATTCCCTGTCCTCCACACCAGTTTCACAGATTTCAATTCAAATTAAAGCAAATTAAAACAAATAGGAAAGTTGAGGTTAATGCAGAGCAGAACTAAGGCCACCTATCTCCAGTCAAATTTTTGAATATATTATCATTGGAGAACCTTTGACAAGGCATGATGACCTCATTTGACCACACCACACATTAAGCCACCCTCAGTACGGACCAGAGACTGCACGGGCAAAACAGTGCTCTCAGCACTGGACCAGGAACCTTGGACACAGCACCGAACAGATGGTGAACCATACAAGCAAAGGGACCACCAGTATCGAGGGACCAAATCTTCTTTACGATTTAGAAGGGGAGGAAGTTCTAATTTGGTCCCACTCTTCCCGAACAAGTTGCCAGCACTTTTAAAAGCTGATAGTTCCCACTGTCTGTTGCTTGGCTAGAGGAGCAGAGATACATCCCAACAGCCCATTGTTGTATCTTTGAACTGAGCATTTATGCACTTCATACAGCCAGCTGTTTCATTCTGATCTGCATCTTAGGGCAGAGGTCTGCTTGCTGTGTATCTTCAGAGGATGGCATTCAACAAAGTTATTGGGCTAGCTGAAGGATTAGTACTAGCACAACAGGTTTTTCCCTTGCGGGACCAGTGAGTCTGGGTCACTGGAGGATGGAGTGCGCAAAGGAGTACTAAGGACAAGACAAAATAGCTTGGGGATCAAATGGCCATGACTTTATTGATTACAGATGTCAGTAGGTTTTGGCATAGGTATTGGGTGTGTATCCTGAATCACTCAGCTTGTCTGCTGGGTGATTATTCCTTCAGGGTTGATCCTGGGTTTTAGGATCATTCTATGATGTGAATCAATTCCAGGAAATTTTTCCAGGGTGCCAGATTAGCCACCGTTTTGGCGTTTGTACAAAACACATCCCCCTGGACCCCTTTAACAGGGCACCCTGGAAATCTCACCAAGGTACTGGGGGTGCTATTATGAGCCACCGCATCTGCCAGTCTAAGGAACCAACCCAATGCTTACTGTGCTGCTGAGTGTGAGCCCTTATTGGTCAGAGAGGAGAATGTTGCATTGCACAAGGAGAAATCCTTGCATGGATGGAACATTCACCTTAGCACTGTGTTGCACGCAACCCATCATCTTTGCTTTACAGCACATGGTCTTGAATTAGCCGAATTGCAAGAAAGAAGACGGGTGCAATTTACAAATCCCTTCACTTGAACCTTCTGGGCCATAACATAGCATCTGTTTAGCAACACACAGGAACAACTCATTAAAACTCATTAAAATTGTGGAAGGGGAAAATTAAGGAGGCAGAATGTAATCAACAGGACTGGAATATGGTCAGGTTATTAGCGTAGGGCATTCTAAATCCATTTACAAGTTGAAAGAAAGATAAATAAGTGAATTCTGAGAACTTTGTTAGGGATCCTAACAGTCAGACAGTCAAATTGGGAGTAATTTCTGAGAATTAGATTTTGTTTTGTTCTGGTCAGGCTTGTGGATGTATAATCTCAAGGGGCCTGTGAAATAAGGGTTCTCCCCAACACGCTGTCTCTTTGGGTAGATGATACCCAATGCCTAGCTCTTACCCACTCCACGTACTTGCCCTAACAACATTAAGCATGAACATCGTATTAACCAAAGACAAAATGGATGAAGAAATAATTACATTAAGCGATTCTCTGAGCCTGTAAATTAATCAACATTATGTACCCCTTGATCAGGCTGCCATGGACATTAATCATATAATCTTTGCCTTTCATTCAAGAGTGTGAGACATTCACACCTAAGATTTTATGTAGGCAACCATGTGTAATGGTTCTTTCACTCTAATAAGCCCACCTCCCAAATTCACCACGAAGAGCGGTTGTGGAATTCAGTGTGGGAGGAGAAAGAGAGAGCTGACAGGTAGGGCATTCAGCTGACTGCTAAAAGGCTCACATGCTAGCTGAAGATGGCACATATCATTCATGGCTTCCTTTTGCTTTTAAAACAGACACAAGAGAAAGGAGCCCACTTCATGGCACCAGAATGGCCAAAGAGCACTGGGTTGATATATAATTGCCTCCACATAGGGTTCTTGCCAGTTTGTGTCTTAATCTTAGGGAGGCTCAGCTCCAAATACACTGAAGGGGGGCAGCTTGTGCATATGTGTGTGTGTGCGTGTGTGCGCGCGCACACACACACACACACACACACACGTACACATATATGCATTCAATTTTGGGGCAGGATTTTAACTAGAATCCCTCCCCTCCTCCCTCCTCTGAAATTAGCAGTCTCCTGAGGCTGTTTTTGGTAAATGTGGAGAATGGGAAAAGAAAAGCAATGTGGGTGGTCAGCTAGGGCTTTAAAATGCACCTCCTGGGAAGGAGGGATTTTCTCCTGGGAAGTCTGATTTTACATGTGGACATTTTAAATACACTGAAACGGAGCAGCTTGTTTGAAAAAGAATGCCAGCAAAGCAGCACGAGGGACCCTGGGGTATTCCAGAAGTATGATCTCAGTGCTGGCTGGCTGGCTTGCTTATTTATTTATTATTAAATAATATTATAAATAATAGCCAGATAGGCTTTCAGGGCAGTTTCACAACAATAAAATCAATGTGATATACAAAAATCACGGTGCACATGGTACATCACGGCTATGCACAATGTCTGGTTGGGAGGCTGGCTGCCGGCTCCATGTATGCTGCCCTAAGCTCATTACAGGATACAAATGTAACAGATACATAACTAATTGTGAGGGGCATCTCACATTTGGCAAGAATCCTCTCTGCTTTGCAAGCGTGGTGTGGCTGAAATGTGTGAATAGACGAGCCTTTGCCAAGTCAATTAAGAAAAGAAAAGCTGTTGCACACACTCAAAGATACAAAATATTCCTCATAATGCAAGAGGTTAGGTATGAGCTTTCAAGCTGGTGGTTTCTTGGGGTTGGCATGTGTTTTCTTAACAGAGGATAGTCCTCTTATTTGAAGGGCTGCCTAGTCCAAGTTCAGCTTAAAGATAAAGAACCACAAGAAGGGAAGATCTTGAAGATGCCCACTGATGGTGAGCACCTGGAGAGCAGACTGAGCACACACACCTGTCTCCAGTGGCCACCAGTGGTTTTCCTTACTCTAGTAAGTTGCACCATTGCAGCAATTATTTCCAAATCATATCCATACATATGCATGCTTTTTTGATGACACATTTCCTTTTCATGTGTGAAGATATTCAAGCAACCACCTTAAGTTTTCTAGATAAATACTTGGTAATGAATACCAAACATGTACACAGTAAAATAAACTGAAAGTAAGATGCAACTTACTAAACTGATCTGTAGGGTCCCAAAAAAATTCTGTTCACAGCATGATAGAGAGTCTACAGTCAAGCTGCCAACAGCTCTTGCACCTCAACAACCTAAACTCTGGAAATCAAGGAATCCCAGGCAGGGCCTTCTGTGCTGGGCTCAGCAGTCACAGAGGGCTCAATGGCATAAGGCAGCTTGTAAGATATGCAGGATCCAATCATGCTGAGGTTTAAAGGAAAGTTGGGCCAAACAAACCCACCTGCTTTTGCGGGACCCCTTGCTCAGTAACTTAAGAGGATGCAAAATTCAAAAGTTGCACCATATTCCCAGTTCTTTATACAGTCCTGGTTTACTTTTTTCTGAATAAAGAAGTACTAACTTTATCTATATGGCACAATTCTATGGCTAAACTCAGCACAGCTTCCTGCAACTGTCCTAAATAATCTTCTGTTAGCATCACACTGTTCATCTTGCACACCTGGGATCTAATATTTTGAAGATAATGTGAGCTTATTATAGTTCAACAAAAGTCAATATGAACATTAAGAATAGAGTCTCTAACATTAAGTACCTGGGCCAAATCTTGAGAAACTTGGCCTCTAGCTCAGGTGGCCTCAATGGATGATAAGTCAATGTCTATTATTCTTTATATCTATTACAACGGCTAACAAAAGTAAATGCCACACTTCTGAATATTCCATCTTGGCTACAGCAACCTTTGATCCACATCAGAACAACAGGGGAAGGTGGTCGGCAAAACATTTTGCTTTAGGGCTTCAATAGCTCTTTTTTTGTTAGTCGCTGTAATAAATATAATCGCATTGTTCTAGCATCCAAAGCCAATTTGTCCAAAGTGCTGTTTGACAATTTCGGACTTCTGGGTTAGCGCCATCGGCAATGGCGGAGTTCCTCTGACCGAGAGGAACCCGCTCCGTGAAAATCGGGTCTTGCCGCCGCGGCGAAGGCGGAGACCCTCTAAAAATCCCAGGCGGAGGAAGCCTGGGAACGTGGGATTCGGCTGACACCAGGAGCACCTCCCCTACTCGCAGGGAAACCCTTTTTCGGGGATCCGAAGCGACGTGGGGTGAGTGGCGCGGTGTTTTGAATCAACCGCTACTTTTACGGAGTGAAGCCGCACAGCCGTTGCCGGAGAGCGCTGACTTTTTCCTGTGGACAATTGGACTCTAAACAAGTACCCGTGAGTAGAACGGAAAATTGGATTAAGAAACATTTTAATTTGGCACTGAAGCAGGAAGGCTCTAAACAGGAAGTCCGCCTCCCGTCTTTTGTAAATAGATTGAAGCAAAAACTTTGTAAGCTAAAGTCTGGAAAGTCGTATATAAAGGTCTAAACTTCCTTCAGTTATTACCACCAAAACCCCTCTTGGAAGCAGGAGAAAAGGGGGGGAATTTTTGACTGTTTAAGCCTGCAGGAGAGAGAGTAAAGAAAGATAAATTTCCACCGTCTCAAACCTGGGAACAGGGTGTCAGAGACAGAAATTTATGGGGAAGTTCATCGACTGTGAATGGAACGTCTTTTGACAGATAGTAAAAAAAAAGAGAAACAAATTGACTCCAATGTTGCTTTTTGCATTCAAAAGAAACAAAGTATTTGAAAAATGAAAGTAATTTTCTTTTGTTGGTCCTGCTTTCAAAAGATGGATACAAATAGAAATTGTCTCCTCTAGAGGGAGCTTGTTAATTTGTTGCCGGAGTCGATCTGGGGATTTCACAGCTGTAAGATTAGGATCGTGAGACCAGACTCTGACCTTGAATAAAAATGTGTTTAGAAGAAGTTTTGGTGCTTGCTTTTTGCAAGACAAGCGCTTTGCTGGAGCAGATGCATGAGAAGATGGATTTGATGACTGTTGCAGTTAAAAACTTTGGACAAACGGCAAATACCCATATAGAAACCATTCAGGAACCAGCCCAGGAACTTGTTTTGACAGGGCAAGCGCAAGTGCAGAAGATAATGGAGGAGGTTGCTGTTGAACCTCAAGTAACACAAATGGAGAGATCCGAGGTCTTGCAGGAGCATAAGCCGCTGTTCTTGAAGTTTGAATCTGGAGTGGACCAGGGGGGGTCTGGAGTCATGAGGGCTCTTAATTTTGGAAGGACTTTGAAACATGCTTTTAAATACTTCCTGGATTACAGTGTTGACTGTGGGGAATGGGACTGTGGGGAATGGGCTGATCTGCTGAGGAGAGATGGAGATTTTTTTGGATTGGAGTCCTCCTGAGACCTACCCCCCAATAAGAAAGGAAAGAAATTAAGAAAAAGATCAACAAATGATAAAGTAAAGTGCAGGTATAAACAAGAAGAAGATCTGCAGAAGGGACATGGAAAAGACTTAAGAGCCTCGGACATAAGATCACCAGGCTGATGGACTAGATGGAATGGACAAGAAGGACTGACAAAACCCGAGACCAGGAAGAAGAGACGTTGGATGAAGATTGGAAGAAAGTTTTTAAAAAAATTTATTTTGAGAATTAGTGTAAAATTAACGAGTATTAGGAAAAATGTTGGAATGAAACTATTTGGCTTTAGTAGAAATGATATAAGGAGTTATGTACATTAAGTTTTAAGTTTTAAGGTTTTTTTTATGGTAAGATAAGGTTAAATAAATTAAGGTAAATTGAATGACAGAATATAGTGAAAGATGGAAAGGATTTGTTGAGTTAATTAAAAGGTTAGATCGTTAAGATAAATTATATAACAAAAATTGAGAAAGATGGAAAGAATTTGCTGAAACAATTAATTAAATTAGAATACAAAAAGGGAGGTGTGAGGAGGTCGATGAAACAAGTAAATGAAAGATAAAGATATGGAACATTGGATGTGTGTTTTAATGTTATTGTTTTTTCCTTTTTTTGCTGTATTGTTGTATTGTTTTTTATGCTTTTCTTCTTATGTACTGTAATGTATGCTTTGTCAATTTTTTGTTGTTTTTTTGTGTTGTTTCCCCCCTCTTTTTTTTGTAATTCTTAAACTTTTAATAAATATTTAAAAAAAACAAAAACAAAGTGCTGTTTGACAATTTTGTCCCTTGCCTCTTTTTCTCTCTCAAGTTGCTTAAATTGTGAGCCTGAAGGCAATGACCTGGTTTGTTTATTTGTGCACAGTGCCTAGCATGTATTAGGGACTTTATTAATATTAAATGTTAATGGTGAAGGTGATGAAAACGGAGCCTCCAAAATCCCCTGAATCTAAAGTTATTTGCCCTGTATACTGTCTCTGTGCATGGTAAGCAACTATAGATGGCTATATGGGTTATGAAATTCCTTAAAGGATTTGCTTCTAGATTTCATCAATATGCAGGTAGCACTCAGTTCTATTTTTCCATATAGCCTAATTTAGAGACCAGTGTCTGGAGGCAATAATGGCTTGAATGAGGGCCAATAAACTGAATATGAGTCCTGATAACAAAAGGTACTGTTGATTGGTGGTTACTAGTGTTCTCCTTGATTCCACATATATGTGGCCTGGCAGTGGTGACTCAGGGGTGAGAAACAGTCACCTGGACAGGGCCAGGAAACAAAAACTTCACCAGACAAACGCCAAATACAAGTAAGAGAATGTAAGAAAGAATACAGTGTGGGAGTAGTGATGCAATTTTCTGAAAATTTCGATGTTGAGCTTAACTGCAGATTTTTTCCTTCATCTCAACAAACATTTCTAACATGCATTATTATACAAGTTTCTGTATTTTCTTAAAGTAACCAACATACGAAGAATTATATAAAATAAATCATATAACTGTATATAAAATAATTGTGTGTTAATGCAGGGTACCATATTACATATGTAAGTATTTTTTGTGTATGTGTTTGTTGATAAATAGTTGGATTTAAAAGGAAAAGAAAAATTGGCAATGCATGAGGTGCTTGATGCAAGAGGTGGTCCGATTTGGACAAAGTG